TTTTAACCAGCAATGAGTTATGTGATGGTAGATATCAAAAAAGAATTAACTTGTAGTAGAAATGGAGGAAAGCAAAAGATGAGGATGATGTGTCTTTTCCAGTGATCTGCAAATAGTATGCAGATTTTTTTCTGCTTGAGTTTTTTTTTTCCACTGTTTTCAAGAATAGATTAAATGCTACCAATTTCAAAAAGATTTTTGACTTGTTTAAATATAAACTTCATGCCTATCTGTTCATAATTTCCAGACTGGAAAAAAAAAAGATTAAAAAATGCAAAGCTGAAGAATCCATAAACAGCTTGGCCATGGAGGTGATGACAGGCAGCTAAAGGCACTACAATGACTAGAATGAACTTAATTGTAGTGGCTGTGGAACATGGCCTGGTGATCTTAAATTAGAAGATTGGGCAGTTTTTGGTTCTGCTTAAGAATTGACTGCTCCTGGGTGGGGTGACTTCCACACAGTATTAGAGGATGAAACCTGAAAAAGGACTCCCGAATGACAAAAAACACTGGGGGACCTATAACATATTATTTCAAACGGCATAGGAGCTGAGTCAGAAGACAGACAGAAGAAAGAAGATAAAAGATTTACCTGTCACCAACATCCAGGCCAGCTGTTAATTCATCTGACTGAGAAAAATGGAAAGTTCTAGTATTTCAGAGTAGTTGTAGTATTTAGGAACACAGAAGGATGTGTAGATGCTAGGTCCAAACATGTGTTAACCACACATCATAACTACCTAAGAAAGCTTGCTTACAGTTGTCCTCAAGCTAAAAGTTAGAGAACAGACCAAACAAATGCTCATTTTCTACTTCAATATCCACCTATGTCAAACTATTATGTAGCTGGGAGGAAAAACTATTGGGAAAAGAATGCAAAACTATTAGACATTTGAAGCTCAGAAACTGAAACTGCTTGACTGTCCAGATAAAACTTGAAATTGATTTTTGCTGTCTTTTATGCAAAAATAAAGTGGGAAAAAAACAAACATGGAAAGCTGTGTGGGGCTTGCCTCTTTCAAAATTAGGTAAATAGCCATCATACAAATATATGGTCAAAGTCAACCTTTCATTCCTGGCCAGCAACTGCTGCCCTGATACTGACATTTCACCCCAGTGTAGTTTTTAATTTTTTTCTGCTACATGATGTGCAACAGGAAAAGAAACCTAGATTACAAAGCAGTTTGAGAGATTTTGTTTAATCTCCAAAGTCTGAATGTTCTGAACATTCTCTCTCTCTCTCTCTCTCTCTCTCTCTCTCTCTCTCTCTCTCTCTCTCTCTCACACACACACACACACACACACACACATATATATATATAAAAGGTCAAACAAACAATAATTGGAAGTTACACAGCTTCTTAGAACATTTTCCAGCATTCAACAAGCCTTGTACCCATAGAAATAAGCTTTTGTGTCAGAAGAATCACCAGCAGAATGCTGTGCTACTAAGAAATGATATGACAAATGATTGAGCAAGTAACTTGTTCATCATGGAAAATGACTATTGAAAAACATCGTCAACATTTCTTGGGCTGAAGAAAATTGTAGACAGATTTATTTTTTGTCAGAACAGATCTATTATTTTTAAAACAACAATATTTTTTTTTATCTTGCCTATTGTAAGCAAAGAAGGCAAGATCCCTTTTTCCACTATATTGTTAGAGATATGCCATTTTTCGAAGAACTGAGAACTTCCAGAACACTGGACTTGAGGTAGGCTTGGTTCCTATGGAAGGGTGCCAATGAATTTCATTAACATTTCATAATATTTTCATTTCAATTACAAATAGACAGGATCAATAAACTGGAGGCATGAGTATTCCAAAAGATAACCAAAGTCTATTGTTTCCAACTTCCAGAGCTGGAGAAGAAGCAGAAAGGTATCCTTCTTTCTTTAATTATTTTTTCTCTTTTTAGTATGTTCCCTCACATCATGGTCTCAGAGAGAGCAGTTTGTTAACTACATAGTTCTCTTAACAGTACATTACCTGTAGTTTATCTAGCAAAGGATACATCTTGTTGTACCTGATCAACAGGTTTGCCCATTATGTCCAACTTGTTCAACTCCCAAGCTCATAACAATACCATAGTAAGATGGCTAACATATCAGAGGGGGAAAAAAAGCACTTGGCTTTTACCTTAACTTTACTTTTTCTAAATCAAAAGTAAGCAACTTGTTCTTCCCCAAGGGTTGCATTCCTTGAGGAAACTCTGCTGGGGGCAGGCATGTGCAGTGGTTGGAGGAGGCAACAGGTAGGTGGAACTGCCCATCTTCTCTCTCTCTCTTCCTTTTCAAATTAGGCCAAGGACCACATCAAATTAAACTGTGGATTGTAGTTGGATTTAAGACCGAAGGTTGCCCTTCCTGTTCTACATACAGTGAAGGCAATTTACAAATTATTTTATGCTAATCTGTTAACAATCTCTGTAGCTAGTCTCCATCACCAATAAAAAGTGTTTCAGTCGAGAAAAGTTTTGCCACTTGATTCTAAGGAAACTGAGCATTATTTAATGAACTTATATGGTACACAACACGTGCAACCCAGCCCTGTAGGTATGCCCATAACTGGCACATAAAGACTTATTTTTGCTTATTCTAAGCTGAGTGACTGATTGAAAACAAGTAGCCTTGCTCAGATGTAAATATTGGACTCAATTCTTTTGTTGTATTTAGGATAACAAGTCTATCAGCTATGCCATAATTCACCCCTTTCCAGTAATTTGAAGCATTCTTAACAATATAATTTATAAAGTCATTTGTTACAAAGTTCCCATTTGTTTGAACTTCATTCTTTGGCCTTGCTTAATTCTAAGCAGCCAATAGGTTTTCTCAACTTTGTGAGTAATGATACCTACAGTACATAATTTTTTATATTACTGATTGTTGTGTGCGAGAAACATTACTTTCTCTGTCACTTTGGAAAGAGAAAGATGGGTGTGGTGTGATTCTCATTACACTTTCCTAGTTTAAACAAATCAAACAAGCATGACACGGTATGTAAATTCTCTTTGAGCTGAGCTCCGTTTTTGGGGACTTCATGGACACGTCCACACAATTTTCTTTGCACTAAATACAGAGTTGGTTTGCCATTTCCTTCTGGTTATTTTTAAACTTCCTAGTCTACACTGAAGCCCTGGGATTCCCTGGTGATTTCCTATATCAGTACTTACTAGACCTGAACTGGCTTAGCTTTTCTGGGATCAGCCACATTTGCCTAGGTGCTCCCATGTAGCAGGGCCAGACAAAATGAAACACCTCCTGGAATCATGAACAGGGCAGGATCTGTGAAATGTGAATCCTTTTCTACAGTGAGAGATATAATGTAATAACCACATAGAAGTTAATATTCTTCAAATAAAAACACTCATGTACAAACCAAAATCCTCAGTGTAAGCCGCAGTATTGTTAATACAATTCATCTTTCTAAAACGAATTCTTGCAAAGGTGCAGAACTAATTTTATCAGATGATGTGAGGAAAAGCGTGATAGCTCTTTACACAAAGCCTACATTATGAGCACTCTAGACAAGCCTCACCCACTGCAACTGCTTGTATTTAAGGCTTTATAACACCTGGATGGGATAAGTGTGTATACATGTATATCTATATCTATAGGTGGATGTTTTTCTGTCTGTCTGTCTGTCTGTCTGTCTGTCTGTCTGTCTGTCTATCTATCTATCTATCTATCTATCTATCTATCTATCTATCTATCTATCTATCTATCTATCTCTAGTCACCAATGAGCACCTGTAGAGGCAACGATACCACCAACACCTCAGTAGCACCTGAAGATCCTTGAAATTAAATGTTTTTATTATGTCTTTTAAATGATCAGAATCTCATGAGATCTCACATCTTGCAAGATTCAAATGGTTTCACATGCCTCCTTGAGAGATATTGGGGAGTGGACATTTTTCAACATCTGGGCCATTATCTGAGATCACGCAATGATCCCTGCCAATTGAAAAGACTGCCAACCCTGTTAGGTATACAGGCACTATATTTCAATATTTCTAGGAAAATACCCTTATTGGCTTATCACTTATCCTATCTGCCAAGGTTGACTGGACCAAACATAATTCAAGTTGCAGGACTGAGGAGGGAATGCCTTCCCCAACATACTGAAGTAAAGTCCTAATTCATGATATGCTTTTTTCCATGTTGCAGAGTCTTTGGGGTTATGATATATTCTTCTCCCTGGTGAAAATTCAATTAACCCCTTTCATATATTGTTTTCACTCTTATCGTAAAGCCTTTCAAAGAAATTATCTAGGCAATTTACCAATCTCTATTAATTTAGCATTTGGCCTGGGCTCTCTGGCAGCTTTTAAGGAACAGCTTTAATCTTCAATGTCTTTCTGTTTTTGTTCTGTGGCATTGTTCAAGCAACCATCACTTTCAGCATGAATATTTATTTAAAAGGTTATATGGGATCTGCATATTCAGGATAGATCAACCCCACCCAAGTCTTTACTTATTATTAGATTTATATTGTACCCTCCATTTAGGAGCTCGAGGTAACATATGTAGCACTCCCTCTTCCCATTTTTCCTCAGAACAACATACCTGCAAAGGAGGTTGGACTAAGCCAGGGTAAGTGACCCAAGGTCATCTAGTGAGCTCCTGTGGCTGAAGGAGGACTTGGGTCTCCTCATTCCTAGTCCAGCCCCTTAACCATTACTCCACGGTGACTCTCAAGAAGGGTAAGAGCCTTGAATTGCATCTGCTCTATAACCCTATAAAAATGGAGGAAAATTCAGCCAAAGATGTAATGATCTTTGTGCCTTGTTTCATCTGAGTTCCTTCAATGGGCATAGCGACTGAATAAAGTAGAACAGCATCATCTCATAACCTGTACACCTGCTAAAGATTCTGAAACTCCACCTCTCTGGGAGCTTGTGAAACTGTCTGGGAACTCAGCCAGAGTCCACACACCTGCTATATAAGAGACATCCAAAGACAAGTGGCTTCTCAGAAGCCCGTCATATGGTACATGCTGCTGAAATCCCCAGCCAGAATGGGGATAGGCAGGGGGACACGAATACCACTATGGATATCCGTACTAATGATCATCTTAACACATCAGAAAGGTAGGAAGCTTTAAGAGAAGTTCATTTCCTATGTTACGCTAGGCATACAGCAAATGCCTGGCTTCTCGAAGGTCTGATGACTTTACACTGTTTCCTTTGCTTTGCCTCATTAAATCTTATCAGGGCTTGAAAAACACTTGCCTGAGTTTTTGTATCACCAGTGCTCCAGCTTTTATTGACACACTGTCCAGTATTTTGATAGATGGAAAAGAGAACAAAAAAAAAAAAAAAGAAAAAGCCATGGTTAATGGAGCCGATGCAATATAAAGCATAGAAAATTAATTCTGTTCTAACTCCTGTTTCTGCAAGAATAAATATAGTTTGTCAAATGCAAATGTGGAAAGTTACAAACCTGAGAGGTTAATAAGGCAAATAAGAACATGGCATTGTTCGGGGGTCTTGTAATACCAAGATGATTAAGCTCTTGAAGTCTATTGCAAAGTTCATGCTACTTTTGATGAACTAGAAATCCAACATGGAATTAATTGTATGTAGGGTCATCAACCATACAGGGAAAGTGCACTTCATGCCTTACTGGGATCACGTATCGTCTTGTAAATTTCAGTACGATCAAGAATTTTTGAAATAAGGAACAGACCTTTATTTCACATGATCTACAGAGATAAGATACTCTGAAAATATTATTTTGAATGATGAAGCAGCAATGACAACCATACACACACACCTTTTTCCTTTCTTTCTTTTTCTTTTTTTGCAGTCCTCTTGTTCTGGATTTTTTCTTAAACATTTAAATTCATTTCCCAGAGAAAGTGGATGGACCTTATAAGGGTTGAAACAGTTGAAAACACGACACGTAAAAAACTAACTGAAATCATAACCAAAGTTATTTATTTTCAGCACTGCCGCTATAGATCATTTTCTTGGGAAAATACTATCCATTTTTCTTCCATTCCCCTTCATACTTGAAATAAGTGCAGCTCTCTTTTGAAACTGCAGGGGCTTTGGTTGTATCAATAACTATGATTAATAGTATCTCACAACAGACAGGGCTGCTTATGGAGGCTACATGGAATGTGCTATACTTAGCAGATCTGCCTGAATTAAGATTCCATCGCCTTCTTTTGTCCGTGAATACTGGAGAAGTAGCATGCAGTTATTGCAAAGCAAATTTACACAATTTCTACTCAGTGTACTTGTAAGAAGATGTTAGAAAGTTTTCCAAGAGATATAAAAGAAGAAAATGCTAAGTTCATACTTTAATAAAGGCTTTGGTTTAAACATAAGTTCTTTTTTATTTTTATTATTATTTTAGAATTTTGATTTGTTGGACTTAGATGGAATGAAGTAGCCCAGATTCTATCAAAATTTAATATTATTCACTTAGGATGGTAACTGAGAGGTTAGTGAGAAAAGTGAGGTTTAAAGCAGTAAAAAGGTAAAATCATACTTAGTTCTGTTGTAGCATTTCAGTGAGAAAACAGAAATATTATACTATATAAACAAATAGCACATTATAGGCATACATGCAATGGATCATAGTCTGTTAATAAAATATACAAAATAAATTGTAATTATTTTGTATTAACAATAGACTTAAAACAAACTGCTATGTCAATTTATTTGTGTTTGTGTGTATGTGTGTGTGTGTGCATGCGCGCGCACACACATATATACATACATACATATAATGCATTTAGAATATTCCACAATTCTGGCTACCTCATTATAAGAGCCTGGAAGGGGCAGCAAAAATATTCAGCAACTTAATGCTCTTCTATAGGAGTAAAGGGTAAATTACTTGACTAAAAGGTGAATCTTATTAGTAAAATTCTAAATGCTCTTAAGAAAGAAGATCAAGAAAATGTTTCTCCCTTTTCTTATAGTAGAATAGGAATACTCAATAACATATATAGATGGAAACTGAAGAGAGACTAAGGAAAGTATTTCTCTGCACAGCACACAATTACGGACCATGATGTCACAAGCCAAAAGAATTGTCACTGTCTTAAAATAGCTGTAAACTTCCATGTTCAGAGGCAGCCAAATTGAAATTCTGTTTGCAGGGTAGGAGCAGAGGAGAGAAGTCCATTATCTAGATCATAATTGGAAAGGTGGATGCTGGACTAAGATGGTCTTTTAGTTTTATCTAGTATGGCTAATGTTTTATTACTATTGAGTTCTAGATGAAGACAAGCAGGCTTCATCTCTCAAAACTTACTTTTATCACAATTTCTTTTAGGTCGCCTACATATTAGCAAGTTATTCCAGTGACTATAATTACTATGACTATGTACATGGGGCAAGGGGAGAAAGAAATAATTTACTTTGAAATATATTGTATTTAGGACCAATAGTGCCAAGAGAGATTACAAAAATATATAACAAGATACTCGGTAGATTGTTTCCAGACTTATTTGTATGTAGAGCAGAAACACTGAAATCATTAGGATTTTAGTGAGTCTTGACTGACAGAAATTTCACTGATTTTAAAGAAGCTGCCATATGTATGTTGAAATGTATACACATCCACAACATATACAAGAGTTGCACAGACAGACTTGTAGTTCATGAAGCCTGTCTACCTATCTATCTATCTATCTATCTATCTATCTATCTATCTATCTATCTATCTATCTATCTATCTATCTATCCATCCATCCATCCATCCATCCATCCATCCATCCATCCATCCATCCATCTATCTAGAAGTCCAGTGACATTTACTTTAAATTTGGGGGAATTGCAAATTGTTATACTTGTATAACATCAGATCAAATTGGTCTGCCTACTGCCTGAATGCCCTAGGATGCCCGCTGTATTTTGTATGCCTAGTCAGAGGACTAGGGCTTTTAAAATAATGAGTCCAAAAAATTGGAATAAACTTCACAGAACATTTCTCTGGAATCCCTTCCTCTCTTGCTTTTAGAGAGCAAGCCAGGGGGCCATTCTTTAGCTGTGCTTTTGAAGGAGAAATGAACTAATACGATTTCAGGTAGTTGTTTTTCTACCTTGAATTCTAGATTTCATTGAATACTTTTTTTATTTTAGCTGCTTTAAGTGCTGGCTGATGAATAGATGAAATAAAATATTTCAATGAATAAATAAAACACTGGAGGGATAACAGTATTTTGCAGACTAGTTACAGGTGAGTATTTTCATGAAGTCCATTCTCATCATTCTCAATGCTTTGCTTTTCTGATTATTGCTACAGTACAAGCCCAGTCTGAAGATCAGCAATCCCAGTATGAGGATCAGCAGTCCCAGTATGAGGATCAGCAGTCTCAGTATGAGGATCAGCAGTCCCAATACGTGGACCAGCATTATGACCAAGAGCACGTCAGTTCTGATGAGAACTTAGCGCAGGACACACTTGATTGTAGGTATCTGTAACATTATTTGAATGAGGGCAGGGCAGTAAGGTGAAAAATAAGACTGCATTGCCACAACTTTCTATTCGTCTTTTGGGAAGAGGAGCAGGCTTTGCAGGTTGATTTCTCAGACTGAGCAGCAATATGTAGGCAGAGAAATCATCGGGCTCTTTCTTATGGGCAACAGCACAGAGACAGAGAGAGGAGAAATGCTGTCTTGCAAGCAGAGAACAAACTCTGTCGTTGGTGCTTGTGCCACCAGGAAATTTTTTTTTTTAATTCAATATTTCCTAATATATAACATTCACAATCCCTCCCTCTCTTTTCTCTTTCTGTAATTTGAACTCGTTGTTTTGGGCCCTGCCCTCCGAAGCAACAAGAAATACATTTGCTTCATCACCTATGCATAATAGCCCTTCAGATATGAAGATGGCAATCATATCACCTATTAATCATCTTTCCCTCAGGCGAATGGGGAGTGGAGTGGAACAGGAATGTCGGCATCATCCCAAGATATAAGAAGGCAAGAACTTGCAGAATCTGTCAGAGCTGGGCAATGTTTGAGCTCAAGCTGGGCAGAAGAATCATAAACACAGGAACATGAGAACGAGCTGCTCTCTCTTTAGAGCAGTGCTTCTCAACCTTGGCAACGTCAAGACATGTGGACTTCAACTCCCAGAATTCCCCAGCCAGCATGTCTTAACGTTGCCAAGGTTGAGAAGCACTGCTTTAGAGTAAGGCTTCAACCTCTTTACAGTGAGATTACAGAAAGAAGGAACAAGTGATGAGAGGTTTAGCAAAGGTCAGTAGAAAGAAGCAGGCAACAGCTTCTTCCATCATCCTTCCACATACATACAGAACATGCTATGCCCCGAGACATTGCCAGGCTAAAACTATCATTGAGAAGAAGCTTACAACAGGCTTTCTCTCTGTTGGCCCACAAATATTAGGGGATATACTTGCAAAGCCAGTCAACCAATCCAATATTCTTGCTTCCCTCAACCTGTCCTTTTAATTCGTTTTGTGATTGGCAGCTGTGCAGCATACTAAAAGCAAAACTAAACTGTTCACTTTCAAAGTTTAGTTCATACAAATAATTGCACATCCTGCAGCTGTTCTTTCCATTTAAAGTGAAAGTGGAGCCTTCCAAATGACAGTTTGGCTAGCTAAGAAAACACACAGGGCAATTACCATGGCTTTTCAGATGGTGCATTTCAGATAAAATTATGTTTACACTGAAGTATTGCTCATTTTCATCAGTAAAGGGGTACACTTACACACCATGCAGGTATCTAATCTAGAACTTTATTTGAATAATATTACTGAGCAAATATACTTTGTGTATGCATGGATATGCAAGCAATACACCCATGATAGTAGGTTAATTTATCCCTTTCATCTTATGCTCTCATTCCATCTTTTCCAATTTAGAAAAGGACAATTTAGTTTCAAGATCATGTCTCTTTGGCTAGAGTAGCAATGGTTTGGACAGAACTGATATAGAAACATCAAAGTTAAAGAAATTAAGATATGAATGGGGCATATTCCTGCCAAAGTCCAATATTTAGGACAATTTAAGAGCCAGAATGATTTACCCTGGGAAATGGATGATTCTTTCTTGGTTTAATTCTTAATATAACATCCTCTAGATTATAAACAGTATTAAATCTAAATCTAATGTTCCAGTCAATTTCTTTGACATGTATTATCCAAAGGATCATCAAGATGGGCCTTAAAATAGGATTGATTGATTGATTGATCTATCTATCAAACTTATCCCCGCCCATCTCCCCCCAATGGGGGACTCTGGGCAGCTTACAACAGATTAAAACAATAAATAAATATATAGTTAAAATTTATAAGGTTATGGCATGCATTTCATACAATTCACTTTCTATAGAAGGTTGAAATCAATTCAGCTTGATTCCTCCATTAAATCATTAAACATTTCAACCCTTTAAAGTTATACTGCCCCAGTCACCTGTTGCCAAATGTTAAGGACTGATTCCTCAATCATATAGATAAGTTGCAAACATGAGTTGCTCTGCAAACAGAAGGGTGGAGAAATCTTGCAATGATTCTCGTATTAAACAGAATAGGCTGTGATGAAAGGAAAACTTGGGATGGTGTGCAACTGCAGCTAAATGGCAACTGCTTACTGGCAAGCAGCCACACTTAACAGTTTCTGGGTGGACTAAGACTACAGTGAGTGGAAAAATAATGGAAAATGCTTGGAGCTGTGTTTATGCTCATGGGCTTGGCCAAGATTTTCAGTTGTTGTTTTTTTTCCTGTGTTTGTAGGGGGACATTTTGTTTATTTCTTGCAAAAAATATGCTGACAATGTTAGGCTTAATGCACTTTTTGTGAATTTCCTCTCTCAAAATGGCTGGAAACCATTTGTGGCCAGAAGGGCTAGGAACTACAAAAAAGTTCATAGCTGTATATAAACCAAGATCGTTTGGTTGACCAGCCATGTGTTTCAGGGATCTGGACTCCTTTCCTCACACAAAATTCAATGAGTCATTATTTCAGTGGGGCAACACTGAAAATACCATGCTATTGTAAGTTTTGCTTTTGGCAAGATACTTTGATTTAAGTTCCTGGTTCAAGCTTGTTGGCAAAGAGATTCTTTTTTTTAAATTTTTTAAAAATATTTTTATTAAAATTTTACAATACAACAAAAGTATAAAAATGAAAAGTAAAATAAGAAAAAAAGATAGGAAAAAAGAAAAGAAGAAAAGGAGTGAAAAAAAGAAAGAAAACATAGACTTTTGACTTCTACCCTTCTTTCTGTTGAGTAACATCTTCACAAAGAAATATTCTTTAAAAATAATCACATTTTGCCAACAATTGAAATCCTAGTGTATTGTTCCACTACCCATCTATAAAGAAATCCAAGCACAGAAAAAGAGTTTCATTCTCTCACACTTTAATATGGATCGCACAATGGAAAGAAAATGTTTTCTAACAAGGCTGCTTTTATATAAGCGAGTAGTTTCAGAGTTAAGCTTAATTATCTGAAGAAAAATTCCCATAATTTTAGCACTGCTGATGATTTCATATGGTAAAGTCACAGTTAGAGCCCATATCTAACATTGTTCTGATCTCTTACTTGTATGATGTATTAATATTTTCTCTGTTTTTTTATTTGAAAACTTTGTTAAAAGAGTTTTCATACTAATTACGTGCATATTTATTCAGGAATAGATCTCACTAAATTCAGAGGAACTTAAATTATTATCAGGTAAATACAAAAAGCTTTGAAATGCCAATTTGATAAAGAAATTATAATTATTCCTTCAACCTGCACTCTAAAAATTGCATTATAGCCCTTGGAATCCAGTTCAGAATTTTCCAACTGCTCAGCTGATCAGAGAATGACAGATCTGCTGAAATAAATATTAGAAAGAAATAATACCATTGTATGTTGTATTTAGAAAGAGACGTATCATAGGGTGAGAAATTAATCATTAGTGAGGTTTAGAGATATTTTGTGGCATTGTACAAATATTTGCTTTATAACAGTATTCTTTTCCTTCAGTTGTTACCACATTAGCTCCCACAAGTCCTGTGAGTTTGATCCCTGGATTTAGAACAACAATGGCCGTCAAGGGTAAGTTGGTCAAAGATCATATTGATATGTTTTAGATTATTCATTCCATATCAGTGGTTGAGGTTAGTTCTATTCACATCAGTGGTGTAATCTCTAAGTGAAAATAGAGGATTTTAGCATACTAATTAGGAACAGGGTGGTCAAAAAGAAGAGTGGAAGGAAAGTCAATGGTAGACATCAATGAATAATCACACTAAAATGTTGCCATATTCCATATGAATGATTGAGGCTATATATCTTAGAGGAATGGATGGGAAAGTGAATGGGTGGATGAGCGGGTGGGTAGACTGAGTAGGTGGATGAAAAGGGTAGGCTTGAATAAAAAGTTTACATGTTACTTTGAATCCACAGCTGGAAATGCAGCTCATAATGATAGAGTGTGTAGCACTTGGGGCAACTTCCACTTCAAGACCTTTGATGGAGACATCTATCATTTCCCTGGGCTCTGCAATTATGTCTTGGCATCCCACTGCAAATCTTCCTATGAAGACTTCAATGTGCAAATAAGACGCTTGGTGGTTGCGAATGTTACCGTTATAAGCCATGTGACTGTGAAACTTGATGGAGTGGCCATTGAACTGACCTCAAGTTCCATTACGGTCAATGGAAAACTGTAAGCTTCATCATTTAAACAGTAAAATAATATAATTTCTGGTATTTCACTGCTACAAATTCCAGTCACACCAGGGCAAGGAGGAAGAACGTCATTTCATATGTTGTTCTTACTTCAGTACAGTATTTGTAAATGAGATGTTTCCTGTGAATCAATTTCAGTCACTTACAGTTGCAATTTGCTTTATTTCCAGCATTCAGATACCTTACAGCCACTTAGGGATCCTGATAGAGAGAAGCTCAGGTTATTTTAAGCTCCAAGGGAAGTTAGGATTGACGCTGATGTGGAATCAAGAGGATGGCCTTTTGGTAAGAATCCATTCTAGATGTTGCAAGGAATTCCTATTATGATTTTGGAAATAACTTGTGGAGCTTTGCATACACACACACACACCCACACACACTATGTGTGTGTGTGTGTGTGTGTGTAAACATATTTCTAAGTATGTTATATCATGGGGAATTATATACAAGAGCATCTGTGTGTGTTTAATTGTAATTCAAAAATACTTGACATGATGGATAATAACAGTAACAAGAAGAATAACAATAATTAATTAAATTTATATGCTGCTCAAATCCCAGTGACCTTAATGCTGTTCTGTCATGGAAAAACTAATATTTGAATGTTGTGCTGGTATAAATCCTAATAAAGAGAAGGGGAAATGGATTGGATCTCTCCACCTTTAGCCTTCTGGAAGGCCTTAAAAAGCTGGCTGTTCCCCCAAGCTTTGGGATGGGATGGGGTGAGGTGAGGCTGGAGCCTGATTGTTGTTGTTGTTGTTGTTGTTGGGGAGTGTGGCATTAGGGTGCCAGCCTGTTTTTTTTTTTTCCCAGTGTTGTTGAAAATAGCTTCTTATACTTTTTATTGTGGTTGCTGTGAGCCACCCAGAATTATGGTATACAACCATATATGTTATGGTTTATATAAATAAATAAAATATTTAAAAGACCATCTCCAATTAAAATGAGAGTGAATTAGCTATAAAGACTAGAAGAACAATGATAGACCATTTCAAGGGCTTGTCTAGTCCAGGATTTGACCCCGGAAACAGTTGTATCTTCTCAATTGTTTCTCATTGAGTGGTGAACTTTGGCTTTGATACTCTTTGATTTGAGTGAATCTAGATTTAGCCCAATGTAAGTGATCTACAAATATGAATTGCTTTCTCATTTAATCTGTATTCTTACCACATCTCCACTCTTGGAAATATCATTGCTTGCAGAATTAGAAAATGAAAGTACAACAGCTATGCTAGGACGATCAGATCCAAGCTGCAAAAATCTGGATGATCACTAGATGGAAGCAAAGACTTAGAGTTTTCTACATCTCACTGCTATCAGCTAATGATCAGTCAGATTTTGCGGCCCAGAACTAGTAGTCCTAATTAAAGCTCTCTTTTAATATGAAGTGTAAGGAGAATACCAATTATTATGGCAGTGTTGCATACTGTCTTTGTTGTGAGAGTCCTTACTTTTTATTTCTTTCAGAATTAAAGAATAATCCCATTAACTCAGGGGAATGTCTAACCAATTTACTGGTTTTGCTGTCACTGCCAAACTTTTGCCTAATTTGGAAACTATCTTGTTTTTCTCCTCTATCTTTTTTAATGTACATGTGTATGTGGAGGTAATATAACTAGAATGAAATCTGGAGAAGATACAGAAGAGCTCAGTAACTTCATTAATGTTTAAACAAAGAATCAAATTAACTTTTATTCCATAACTTCAAGTGGACTGTAGATACTGAAGGTTAAAACATTCTCTGTGTGTGAGTGTTGCTGACATCAGGGAATCTAATCTGAACAAGGATTAGTGAAGCAAGTTTTATAACAGAAAGGAGGGTTAAAAAAAGAAAATACATAGTAGGAAGAGTCAAAGCTATATCCTACCAAGAGGAGAATCCAAGAGCACATGTTCTATACATGTGTGTCTGGGAAGAAAGGCAGAAGGAAGTGACCCAGCAGTCTCTTACAGTAGATAAAGATGAGGCAGAGTGATCCACAAGAGGAGACACAGAATAAATTCTTAACTCTTCATCTACACCCTACTGTCCCCTTATGGTCAGTAGGACATGAGGAACTGAGGAGTCAATGCCATTAGATTTGTACACCAACAGTAAATAAGTTCTTAATAGAACAATGTATCTATAGGCTGTCACTCATTGCCTTCCATGGCACTATATGGCCTTTATATACTCTGACATCTGAAGGTTTTTCTAGGGCTGAGGACTCTAAGCTTTCCACAGGCCTATCCTTCAATTCATTGCACCTTCCAGATCTATCTCTCTTCAGTTCCTTCCTCCCTGTGGGATATAAACTGGGAGGAGGTGCCCCATGTTACCATGCTTTAATTGACAATCCTAGTCCCCAGTTATTACAGGGATACTCTGTTTTTAGCCTTATTTCATTTATGTCATCTGTTTTCTTATTGGATCTTTGGCACTTGTCTCATTTAATTAGTTTGGTATCTAACAATATTCAGACCCTATGCTAAACCTTAGCTTATACCCCAAAGAATGAGCTGCAGCAAAATTGGGGATTGTCCTTTCTCTTCTATTCTGGGATGACTGCAAGGAAGAGTTTGGAAAGCTTCATTTGTACTTTAAATTGAAGAAGCTTAATATTAACCACAGTGATAATGGCTTATCAAATTTGTTAAAATAAGTCATAGTTAATATTAACTACCACTTACTGCTCAAATACTATGATAATCTGTGATTAAGTGACATCAGAAGCAAAAGCCTTCTATGTTCAGTTTTGATTGCTCCATAGGAAAAGGGAGGAATGATCTGTTTAGTTTATGCTATACTATGATTTAACATGACAGCCAAAGACAACTATTGGATTTAATGGGAATTAAAAAATAAGAAAGGAAACAAAATTCCACTATCAGACCTTAAAGACTAATACACCTGAACTTGACTGTAAATCCTGGTTTCTCTTTACACCTGTTTACCAATGTTATACATAACCTTTGTCAACTCAAGTTTCATTCTTAAAATTCTAGATCTTCACTACAGTTATATTTCTTGTCTTGTTTTAGCTGGAACTAAATGAAAAATATGCTAATCAAACTTGTGGTCTTTGTGGGGATTTCAATAAAATCAAAATCTACAATGAATTCATTTCCAACCGTAAGTGACAAAAATAACAGATTTCTGTTTTTATTGCTTTTGAGTATGGGTCATTTATCAGTTCATTTGTAGAACAGGATTTATTTTGGTGAACACTGCTGAAAGATAGTTGGTTCAACAGCCTTAAAGTACTGTAATTGTATAATGTTTTACAAGGATCAAGATTGTTGGAATAACCACCTCCAAATATTAAAGGATCATAGGTTTGTTTTGTTATTATTTGCTTTTTCATAACTAGTGTAGAAAGTCCATGCATCTTTAAAAACTGGATATCTGGTTTGTTTGTTTTTTCAATTTGCAGCCTGGAAAGGGCTGCCAAGTTTAATGGGGACTGGAGATGTGCCAGGAAGGGAGAATGTCGGCTCTCTTGTGCAAGGAGTTGCAGCTCAGATTTAGCTAGAACCTGTTCTTTACCTCCCCCCTACTCCATGTGGCTCATAGTTTGAGACACAGGTAGAGTGGGCCTGTGTAAGGGTGGCTGAACCCCCAGTTCATGGAGGTTTCAAGGATGACACTATCTCTCTCTCCTATCTATCCCTTCCATCAGGGCATCATTAAGGAACTCAATCGTTTGATAACTGATGAGACCAGGAAGGCTTTTTTGCTAAGCTGAGCAACCTAGTTGCTTGCTTACCTGAGCAGTCAGCTAATAGGAGCTGGTTGTTTTTCTCTTGCTCACGGATCAGTGGTGCCTCTTGAAGTTTGCTGCTGAGCAAAGTCCAGGACACCACAACCAGAAAGGCCAACCAAATTTAGCACCACATTGAATTAGGCCCGACCTGCCCCTCCCCCTGCGTTTGCCATGCTCTTTCCCTCTCCCACCTTCACACTTGCTTTCCTCTTGGAAAAGTGGAAATTGGTGGGAAGATTCAAAGACTAGATAAAACATGTAATATGTGTGTCAATCCCCAAAGTCAACAGCTTTCTAACCTTGATACTGAGTCTAGAAGATTTCCTAGTGTTATTTTAGGAGGTAGCAGGTTTCCCAAAGTTAACAGTGATCGTATCTGGATGGCAGTTTTGAGAACATGTTTTAGGTGTTCTCATAAAATGTTTTGCTGAGGGGGAAGGGGCTAGCTATTTATAAAATGGCTGCCAGAAGGTCTTAACCATTTACAAAGCCATGTCATAGCAGAATGCTGCCTCCATACCCTCAAGTTCCTATCCTGCAGGAAGCTACCTATTTCGAGCTACCAGATCTGGGCTTAAAACCACCATGAGATGGCAGCAACAAGACACAGAAAACTGCTGCCTATTAGTAATTGTGTCTGGGATTTGTAGCCCAGATCTATTCCGTACCACCCATTTATCTTTGACCTTTTTTAAGGGCAGATGGGCACATCCTGAAACAGAGCAGTAGGCTTTATTATACTCAGTAAAGGATTCCTAATAAAGTCAATAATATGCTTAAAAATTAAGAAGATGATGGAGGCTACTGCTTTGTTTTGCAGGATGCCAGCTTCCATTTTAAATAAAGTCATTTGGGGCAGGAACTATAACAGATATCAAGGAAAGTTTCCATAGGCACATAGGAATCCCCAGTGACACAGTGGAGACTTAAAAATTATACGGTTGCTCTGGCCCTTATACCCTAACCCTAACCCTAACTCCTTGTTTAGCAACTGCCTTATTTAGTGACCATTTGCAGTTACAACAGTGATGGAAACATAACTTTGCAACCAGTCCTTGCATCTGTGACTTTTGCAGGTCTGTAAAGCAAAGGAAAACTGAAGTAAGTTCATAAGGACAGTTACGGTTTCACTTAGTAACCACTCTGCTTAATGGTCAAGTTGCCGCTCCCAGTTGTGGTTGCTAAACGAGGACTACTTGTAATGACAACTTGGAAGAGAATTAATGCATAGGCACGAGATGAGAATTGTAACTTCTCATTCAAGAGGCCTCATTAGCAGGTGTGTTGGGGAAGGGGCTTGTCAAAAAAGGTCAAGATGGCAGTCAAAAGGGTAGGGCTTTGAACATGTGGTTACTGCCACCATCTTGACTTTTAGTCCCCCAAAGCATCACTTCTCAGTGGCACTTGATATCCAAAACTAAGGAGAGGACTTTACCTCATCATGATGGGGAAGGCGAAATTGGTCTAATTAACCTCACCATCTTGCCAGGAATCAGTCTGGTTTCATCTCATGCAGATTGATGTTCTTTCTTGGCCCCTTTGCCAGATTTATTTCACGTAAAGGGAATGTAATAAAGTTGCAGCCTATGTCTTTCCCATCTTCTAATCCTGCTTTGTGAACAACTCTAGAATGGCTTTTTGAAACTTGCTTATTGCAGATATCAAGCTGTCTTCTTTGCAGTTTGGAAACATGCAGAAGATGGACGGACCCACGGAACAATGCCAAGATCCTATCCTTTTACCCAAAGGCGAATGCAACCATGAGTTTGTAAGGACTTTTATTTTACTTCACCTTTCTAAAGGGAATTCTGCTTTTTTTTTTTTAGACTTTTTATCCTACCTTTATTATTTTCATAAATAACTCAAGGTGGTGAACTTACCTAATACTCTTTCCTCCTCCTATTTTCCCCACAACAACAACCCTGTGTGGTGAGTTGGGCTGAGAGAGAGTGACTGGCCCAAAGTCCCCGAGCCAGCTTTCATGCCTAAGGCAGGTCTAGAACTCACTGTTTCCCGATTTCTAGCCTGGTTCCTCTTCTTTTTCTCCCTCTTTCTTAAGGGCATGTAGAAGTCAAAACAGTAAAATCTTGAAAATAAATACGAGGTTGTAAATATTAGCAACGCAAATCAGTAATGATGTAGTAGCTTACTGTGTTTATACACTTCATGGTGTTAAGCTCATTGTCTTAGCAGCATTTATTTCTTCTTTCTAGACTACTCTGTGCCAAAACATACTGACTGGTAAAGCATTTGTAGCTTGCAATGCATTAGTTGAAGTGCGTGATTACATTGATGCTTGCACACAAGACTTATGCAACTGTGATAAGTCTGTGATTGACGTCTGCATCTGTGACACCTTTGCTGAGTACTCCAGGCAATGTGCCCATGCTGGTGGACAGCCACTTGAATGGCGAACACAAGATTTGTGTCGTAAGTATCAGTTCCAAAAGAAAATGGCATTTCTCTGGAGAACTCCTTGGAATCAGTGTACAGAATCCTAACTAAGATGGTTGGAGCAGGGATGACAGGCCCTCAAGATCCATGCTCTGCCCATGGAGGCAAATCCAGATCCAAACTAAAGGGAGGCAACCTGCAAAATTCAAACACTGCTGAAGCAACTTCAGCCAGTTAGGCTAATGATGGGATGCTGGGAGTTTAGTTCAGCAACACATGAAAGCCACCGGTATTAAGCTTGTCAAGAATTCTGCAACCCTCCATCCAGCATTGAGCTCAGATTTGTTCTTACTATTAAGAAGGTGTGCTAATGTTTATCTGAAATTTACCTCTTCTTATAACCCATTAGATTTAGTCCAGCCCTTATAGTTTGTAAAAAAAAGTCTTTGCCCAGTTTTATGTATCTGAAGAGTACTATCATGTATTTCCCCTTGCCTGTCTCCACACAGTATCTTCTTTTTTTCCAGGCTGATTATAAACTCAGCTTCTTAATACTTGCCTCCCAGAAGCTGTTTCCCACTGAGGACTAAAATGTATTGCCAACATTCTGTTTAAAACATTTGCACCTTCAGAGGAAAAAAAAATGTACATATGAGGTTTCTAATATCTCATCATTCATTTCTACTTTCAGCCAAGTCATGTCCTTTCAACATGCAGCACCGAGAATGCGGATCGCCCTGTTCTGACACTTGTTCCAATTCTGAACGGTCCCAGTTGTGTGAAGATCATTGTATAGATGGCTGTTTCTGTCCGCCCGGTAAGTCAGTATCCGTGCTCGATTGTTTATACACTTGCAGTTGTCTGGCTGAAGTGTCTCTGGATATTAAGAAAAACAAGTATCTTCCTCGCTATAGAAGTGGCTACATGGAATTTCATTACAGATAGCATGGAAAGGAGAACAAGTTCAAAATAAGGCCTTTGCTCTTCATGTGTAAAAAACGTTACACTTCAGTGCTCTTGCAGAAAGGACCATTTAAAAGATAAAAATAAACATATATTTTGTCTTCCCTGGGAATAGTTGACTTTAATTTGATTAGATTTGTTGAAACATTCTGTTGAGGCATTATAAAGATGATATACAGAAAAGACATTCTTTGGGGGAAGAAAAGGAAGGACTTTAAATTGTTTGAATGTTGAAGTTACTGATTTATTTTTATATCTGAAGAGAAAACAAACTTTTATGCTGGATGTTTCGTATTTTAACTCTGTTTCTTAGTCTATAATTGTGCTGAGATTTACAAATAAATATAAAATAAATTGATTTGATTTAAAAAATCAAGGAGACGGGTTGAATGCTGGAATGGTCTCAGGGAGGTTCTTTTTTAAATGGGAGAAACTATAAGAACAGTTGTAAGAATTACACCCCAAATTTGTTGACATTACTGAAAATGTCTCTTGCTGGAATTTACTACATGGCAGCATGATGAATTGATACTCACGGAACCATCATAAAAATATTTTTACCTTGCATCTTTGGACTGATACTGGATTTCATGAATATGGTAGAGATGCATTTCTTGAACAGGTTTTTCTCGCTTGCTTTTCCATGAAACCACATTCATAGCAGTTGAGGGCAGAACTCCAAGTGGTGCTAGTAATAGGTAGGGGCTATTTTCACCAGAACTATAACATTGGTACATCTGCCTGTTTAATATTGCTTTAGAGGAAAAGCTTCCATTGAAAGCTTTATAAAGAATGGATTTTTATTGGGATCATGGCTTCCTTTCTCACTCACCCTGGTTATCAATGAAAATTGGCGGGTTCATGGAAGCAGTAAAATTAAAACAAATCATGACATGCTTCAGAGTGATCTGAAGTCCTGCTCCAGATGTTGAAATAGTACACATGCTTTCCTGTATTTGGGGAAAATGTAACACATTATATTGCGGACAAGTGTCACTGAGACTTTATCACTGGAAATGAGATCATGTACTCCACATTTCTTAAAAATAGTGAGGTGAGCATGAATAACATACATTGGCTATTTCTTCTTTTAGGCACTGTGTTTGATGACATTAACAATTCTGGCTGCATCCCCATTAAGGATTGTTACTGTACTTACAATGGGACTCATTATGCTCCTGGTACTTCTTTTTCCTCCCAGTGCATTTCATGGTGAGAAGCCCATCTGCGATTTAATAATGTTTTATTAGTGACGGGG